TTCCATGGTGAGGGGAAAAGAGTCAGGTTCACGGTCAGACAGGCCCTGAGTTCAAGGCTGCCTCTGGGTTACTGGGTTACTGGGTCCTGGGATAAATTCTTTGCGCTCAGATTTCTTTGGCCATAAAAATAGGACCATAAAGTACATACTGGACACCGTCATCATTAAGGGTCAATGATGTGTGTCACTGGGCCAGGACAGAGTAGGCCATCGATGGTGGCGATGGTCAGGCTCACTCGAGATCATAAATGAGAAAAAAGTAGCAAAAGCCTCTGAGTTGTGCCGCAGTTGCCCCCATTTTACAGATGCGGAAGTTGGGGCCCAGCGGAAGGGGCCCAGCACAGCCTCACGGAGCTGAAGCTGACCCTCAGAATCGGTGTCCCAGTGTGACGCCTGTCCTCTCTCCCTCCCCCTCCCAGGATGAACAAGGCCCCCACGGCAGGGTTTGAGGCCGACGTGGGCAGCAAGACCACCCACCACCTCGTGTACCCCGAGAGCTTCCGGGAGCTGGCGGAGAACGTCAGCATGGTCCTGGTCCCCTTCAAGACCACCGACCTGCAGTGGGTGGTCAGCGCTACCACCACAGGCACCATCTCCCAGTAAGTCCCCTCGGGGCGTCTGCATGAGGGTCACTGCTTGTCCCGCTGCTGCTCCTTGCTGTGTGAGGGCCTCTGAGCCCCCCGCCATGCTGTTCCACCCCCTACAGCCATGCTCGTGCTGTTCCTCCCCCGGAACACCTCCCCTCCCCAGGCCTCCCCGTGGAGGGCAGAGCCCCAGTCCCCCAGCCACCTCCAGACCCTCCGGCTCTTCTTGGTACCCCTCCTCCCATCACCCCGATGCACCCGGAGCTCCGGCCTTCCTCCTCCTTGTGACTTCCCGCCCCCCCGAACAGACCTCCCAGCTTTGCTTCCCCAGACACCCTGGAAACCCCTCGGGAGAGGGAGCCCCGCTGGAAAGGACACAGCACGTGTTAGCTCTGACCCCGTGCTCACCTCTGGGGTGCTCCCCGTTGATGAGAGCCTCCGCCCACCCCCGCTTCTCAAACCGTCAGAATGGCCCCGGCTGGGCTGGGGGGCGGGCAGGGAGACCGGGCGTGGAGCACGTCGGCTCCGGCGGCTGCCTTGAGCACCGAGGAGCTCACGTCTTCTGATTTGTTCCGGGCACTTGGCACGGGTCTCAGTGAATTCCCACTAGTCCTTCTTATGACCTCCAGCCTCCCCGGAGACCCGGAGGCTTGGCCCCTTCGCAGAGCCAGGCTCGCACCTGCCTGAAGAGAAGTGGCTTAGTGCCCAGATGGCCAAAAGCCTCCTTGTTTGAGGCCTGGTTAGGAAGCCCGAGGGATTTGGGTGCGGGAAACCGGGGGGCTGTGCTCGGAGGAGGAGGGCAGTGAGGGAAGCGGGCGCAGCCAGGGGAGGAGCTGGACCAGCCAGGGCTCCGCTGCCGGCCCCTCCTTCCTGGTCCCACAGGCTGGAACGTGACTTGTCCCCAAGGTAGATGCAACGTGAGGCCAGGTGGCCAGGCACGTATACCGTCATCTTGGGGGCACGTGAAATCTTGCAGATGAAAAGGGGGCCATTGTGGGCCTATCAGCCAGCGTCCCAGCAGCGGGGGATGGGTGTTGTGGGCCCCGCTCCGTGCTGCTTGTGCTGTGTGCGCGGCTTGGAGCAATCCCCCGTCTTAAACTTTCTGGGAGAAGGCGGCATAATGCAGCAGCAGGTCCTCGAATGAGCCACGATCGCCCTCTGGTGTCCATAATGGGCCACTATGAGGAGGTGGGGTCCCTTGGGAAATGAGTGTGCTTTCCCGCTTGCCCCACCTGCGTCTCCAGCTGCCCCTACCAGCTGATGCCCAGGCCGCCAGCCCCCTCCCACATTAACCACCTGCCTTGTCCTCCCGCAGCACCTACGTTCCTGTCCCCACGAAGATCAAGGTGAAAAAGAATAAGGTGAGTCAAGACTCAGGCGCCTTGTCCTCTGAGCTCAGCCTCGCTTTCAAGGCTCTGCGTGAGGACGGCGGAGATCACCATCTCCCCGCTCTGCCAGCGTCTGGCGGCGGAGAGCCCCTGGGCCCCCGGGCTGGTGGGTGTGGTGGCCCTCCACTTAGAGAGTGGAGGGACGAACCCTGGAGAGGTTCCCTAAGCCTGGACCCTGGACCTGCAGCACCACCCGGGAGCTTGTCACCAATGCAGATCCTCAGGCCACCCCAGATCTGCTGAATCAGAAACGCTGGGTTTTTACAATTCCCCCAGGGATGCTGGTGCTGTTCGAGAACCACTGCCCTACAGCATGAGCATCTCAAAGCCAGACCTCGTCACCTGTCTCCATATCTGCATCTTCCCCAGTGGGCCCTGGAATGGGGTTGGCTAAGACGTGGGCAAAGGGCAGAGGGATGAAGAAAATGAAGTGTCCGCCACACCAGGCCTTCGCATACACTGTCATGTGTAGATGGAGAGATCAGGTTCAGAGAGGTCAGGTGACTTGCCCAGAGACACACAGCTAGTCACTGTATGGCTGGAGCTGATGTCTTCCCGATGGTGGCTGCGTGACATTGAGCATGTCACTTAGCCTCTCTGAGCCTCGGTTTCCTCATCTGTAACATGAGGAGAGGGAGAGCTGGCATGCGGGGTCCTTTTAGGGACTGGAGATCATTCAGGCCCATGTGAGGCAGAACGGGTGGCTCAGTGCCTTCCTGCAGTGTGACAGGAGTGTCCCTGCCCCCAGCTCATGCTCTTCCCTGGAACCTTCTCGTGCAGCCTCATGTCCCACTCCTTGGCCGCATTTGATTGTAATTCAGATGTCACCTTGTCTGCAAGACTTCTCACCCCAGTTCCTTATCTCCTTTCTCTGCTGTGTTTGTTTCCGTAGAGTCTCATCACGCTTTTCGATCATCCTCTGTGTCTCCGTGATTTAGGTCACGGTCCGTCTTCTCCACTAGAACGTAACGCCCCGACCCCGAGTGCAGGGTTATGAGTTCCAGTCACAACAGGGTCCCCTGAGGTTACAATAGCGTGTGGCACCTAACACATGCCTGGTTTCCTTCTCCAGACCGCTCACCATGTCCTCCCCTCCCGCAGATCCTGATTTACCACCCAGCCTTCATCAAGTACGTCTTCGACAGCTGGCTGCTGGGCCATGGGCGGTACCCGTCCACCGGCATCCTCTCGGTCATCTTCTCACTGCACATCTGTGATGAGGTAGGACCCCCTCCCCCATGCCTGCCTTCCCCCGCCAGGGGGTCGGGGACCGAGGGCTCCTCATTCTGTGTTCTCAAGAGGGGCGGCGAGAGCGCCTGCAGACAGGCTAGACCTCCCGGCATAGCCTGTCTCTTCTAGAAGCCCCGATCCTGTCTCTACGGTGAGGCTTTGCACTGTCTCCCGCACGGGAGGATTTGGGGAGTAGCCATGTTCTCTTGGTGTGTGAGGTCCCAAGGCAGAGCCTGGCCCAGCAGGTGGAAGCTCAGATCTGATCTGGGGGCAAAATAAGCATATCTTGCCCCCAGGAGTATATTATAATCGGGGGAGCTGTCTGGGGTTGTGGTTTCGATCTCAGTTGCTCATCACAATCATCTGTGGAGCTAAATTCCGGCCCCCAGGCCACAGCCCAGCCCACTTCCACCACAATTCCTGAGGTTGGAAACCCGGCACCCAGGGGTTCCACTATTCACCGAGGTTGAGAATCAGTGATTTTGCCAACCGTGCGTCTCCAATCGTGGATTCGCCTTGCCGTCCGCCAGCCTGGGCCTGGGTTTCCATCAGTGATCTGGGGTGCTTGCTGCCCCTGGACAGTGAAGCAGGACGGGGACCACAGTGCCCCCTGCTTCTTTCCTGGCCCTGGGTTCAGGCAGGGCACTCCGCTGTCCCTTCTTGGCACGTACAGCCCATCCCCGCCCTTGCCCCATCAGGCTCATCAGTGGACATCGCAAGAGGAGGGGTCGAGGGGGTAGCAAGGCCCACCCACCGTCTCTGCCTCGGTTGTTCTGCCACCATCTTCGCCTGCCCTTCACCCCAGAAACCATACCTGCCTCTCATCCCCCCCCCAAGCCCCTACCTCCAGCTGGCTGGTCAAAGAGCCCGTGGGCCTCTGCCTCAGAAATGCCCCTCCCGTCCCTTAGCGCGTGCTCTGGGGTGGGCCCGTGTCCCTGCTGGCATTTTCGGAAAAGGCTGCACCTGCCGCAGAGCTGTCTCCTGCCCCTGGTGGGTCCCCGCCCCTGAAAGCCGTCTGCCATGCTGCGGCCCACATAGCTTTCCCTCTCCCTGGAATCCCCTCCTCCCGTCCCTTCCTGGTCACCTTCTGCTCATTTTCCAAGACCCAGTTCAAGTGTCACTTGCTCGAAAGAGCTCTCTCTGCCCTCGCCGGCCTCCTGCCCCTCCGTCCTCGGTGCTGAGGGAGCCCCGGCGTTAGCCGCTGTCCCCCACGGGGGCCCGGTTGGTGCTTGTTATAATTTAGGAGCGCCAGGGGCTGAGACCTGACTCCTGCATCCCTGGTTGCGCCAGCATCCGCCTGAACTCTGACGGATTTAATGCAGCACCTGGCACAGAATAAGTGCTCAGTAAAAGTTTGTCATGCGTAAGAAGCACGCCCCCTGCCCCGCCCACCGGACAGTGAGGACCCCCGGACCAGATGGGTATTCGCCCAAGGGAAGGCAGGGGTCGGAGCCACCGCCCACCTCACTGTGGTCATCGCTCTTGGTGGCCCCATTTTCCATATGAGGAAAGTGAGGCTCAGAGAAGTGATTTGGCACTTGCAGGATGTATCAGCAAGAGGTAGAGCTGGGATTTGGGGCAGGCTGCTGGGCTTCGAAGCCCTGCTCCTCAAGCCTTGGAGAAGAGGTTGTGCCTCCCCACAGGTGGACCCAGCACCCACAGGGCCACCCACAAGCAGTGGCCTCCCACTGTGCGCTCTGGCATCGGACTTGACTTTTACTCAACTTGCCTTTGCTTCCCCAAGCCTCTGGGAGTTCCAGGCTCCTGGAGAGGGGTTTCTGTGAATCCTTGGAAGTGGTGTTTACAGATGCTGGGGGTACCTACAGGCTCTCTTTGTCAGAGGGTCCACCTGCAGTCTGGCTCTCACCTGTGCTTTGCCCCGGCAGGTGGACTTGTACGGCTTCGGGGCGGACAGCAAAGGGAACTGGCACCACTATTGGGAGAACAACCCGTCGGCGGGGGCTTTTCGAAAGACTGGGGTACACGATGGGGACTTTGAGTCCAATGTGACGGCCACCTTGGCATCCATCAACAAAATCCGCATCTTTAAGGGAAGATGACGCTGTGAAGGGCTAAGGACAGATGCACCAGAGCGCACCTCTCCACATCCAGCCCCAACTTCTCACCGGAGCCATTGTGCTCTGGGAACTTGGAGGGCCGGCCTCAGGGGTGTGCCCAGGTGCCCCTCGCAGCCTCTTGCACCCCAACTTTTGGCAGCATCTACTCAGCAAGGTTGCCGAGCCCTGCCAGGGCTGCAGAGCAAGTCTCAGAACCATTCTGGGGTGGGGAGACCCCTCTCGCTGCTGTTCCGGGCTGGGGAAGGTGGGGAGACTGGGGGGAGGTCCAGTCGAAGATTCCCACATTCTAAAGAAGAGGATGGTCTCCTGGGGAGGATGCACAGAGACTCTGCTCTGCTGAGGGGTCCGGGGCCAGCGCTCTGATTCTCGCTGCGAAGTTCCTGGGTGAGGGCGACCCCCCAGGACAGCCATGCGGGGCCTCCCTCACATGGTAGGACCACCACGCCTCCCCTTTCTGCCCAAAGCTCATTTATGGTGGCCAGGAGGGCTCCTCACCCAAAGGTCTTCAGAGACTCTAAATATCCAGATGTCTCCTTCCCAAGCCGCTGTTCCCTTGAGTAATCAATCTTTGTGTTTATCATGATGGCTGAGAGCAGATCTGACGACTTCTTTGTGCCTTTGTATTGGGGAGAGAGATGCATGCATTTGGCTGAAATGAGGCAAAAGCCCCGACTTGGGAAAGGGGACCGCAGCAGTGAACTCCCCTTACTCTGTAGCTCGGGACAGTTTTCTAGTTCCCTGAGCCAGCGTCTGAGTTGGAACAAAGCTCGGATGATATGCGGCTCCATCCAGAGGCCCGTCAGCCATGGGGACTTATTTTCACAGACTACTGGATTTGGTGCCCGTAACCTTCCAGAGCTGTGCAGGAGGCCGCCAGCAGCTAGCAGTTTCCCCCAGGGGTCTACACTCTGGGCCAGATCCCTCCTCGTCACCTGTGTGGTGTCCTGGGGGTTGCAGGGTCATCCTAGGAACGTGACCATCAGAGAGGAGAAGTCATACCTCATCCTTCACGTCCCAGCTGCTCGCTCTTCCTTGTCAGGCTTCCTGATAATTTATTGTTTTGTTTTTAAAATTCAGCTGACGTCATCTGCACTTTGTGACTCAATTGCTCTCGCTTCAGCTGGCAGCTGGGGTGTGGGCGCTCAAAGCCAGTTTTGTAGGAATCCTGAGACTTGGGATACCGTGGTGTCTAGGGCTTGAGGGCTTGCTGGTGGGCAGATCCTGGGGTGTCAGGTCGGTAGGTTTGTAGGATGCTCTGTACCTCCTTCTCTCCCAGTCCTACCTTTCTTCTTTCTCATTACGGGCTTTAGATTGAGTCTCAGGCTAGGAATCGCCAAACCCAGCGGCACTATCTTGGGGCCGGGTGGGGAGTAGAGTCACAGGTGTAAAAGGACAGTGATTTTTGGCTCCAGTTGCTGACATTTAATCAAAACAAAGCAAACAAACAAAAAAAAAACCAGCCCGTTTTTTCTGTCAAGAGCATTTCCTAAAAGGCCACTGATATTTTGGGGAGTTGTGACCGTGTCCTGGTCTGGGAAGCCAGGAGGCTGCCTCCGCTGCTCCCTGCAGCCCTCTGGATAAGCCCTGCCCTCCCCAGCCTCACTTTCTCCCTCTGCAAATGGGGAGGGAGGAATTACGAAGATCACGGACCACAGATGACAACGGGCATTCACAAGCAACACTAGAAGTCACACACCACATTTGTTTTTCCCCTGAGTCCCTGTATATGAGTATTTTCCAGGGGAGAGGTTCCAGTTTTTATTCGATTCTCAAAGATTCAGGATCCAGAAAGTGTTTTTTAAAAGCTAACCAACAAAAACCTGTTCCAGCTTTAAAATTCTGCAAAATTGAAGACCCTCTTGACTGATAAAAGGCTTGTAAATTGCTGTGAGGTCATTATTCCAAACATAAATCCTCAGAGGCTAGAGCTCATGGGAGCTCTAGCTTCACTTGACGCGAAGAATTCAGCAGACGTGCCGGTCGGCTGATTAATCCCAGGGACAAACCTTGCAGAAATGGACACTGGCGCAGGGAGCGGTGTGGGCTGACCCCTGAGCTCGCTCTCCCCTTCTCCTGAAAGCCAAGTCTGTTCAGGATGATGGGGTCAGAGAGAGCACTCAGCTTTCCTGGATGTGCTGAGTCAGGTCCCCAGAGCAGACAGGTGTCCACAGCTGAGCTGCACACCACCTGGGTCGGCCGTCTGGCCCCCACTCCACCTCTCCTTCCCACCAGGCTGTTCACTGTGAGATGCCTTTCAGCCCTTGGATCCCATTTTACAGATGAGAAAAGCAACGCCAGAGAAGGCAAGTGATTGCAAAAGTGAACCAACTGTGAAACAGATTTTGAGCCGACATAGGGTGTTCTTGGCTCCAGAGGTGGGCTTTCCCAGCCAGGCTCATCCAGCCCCTCAAAGAACTGTAGTCGGTGTAGGTTTCGGACTACAAGCCTCTCACCGCCGGGCTTTGTTCTCAGGCTGCCCACGGTGGCCCGAGGCAAGCTGTAACCTCGGCCTTCTCACACCGTCCTTCCAGTGGAGGAGATAGCATCATGCTTTCCCAGAGCTGGGGCAGACATCATCCTGTGGCTTAACAACGGCCACCTAACCGAATCCAGCCAGCCACTGTGGCCGGGATTAACGCACCATTGCCTTAAACCAGCGGGGCCCATGCCGGGGTAGAGGTGGCTGAGAACTAGACAAGAGTGTTTCCCACGGGGATTTGGCCATTGGCTGGAGGACGAGAAGCACCCACACGAGGAAGTTCTTGCGTGAACAGTATACGCAGTTGGGCTCCCCGGGGCTCCAGGATCCCAGCCCAGGGCTCTGTCCACTCCGCGGACAGAGAGCTCCTTGGAGACCAGCCCTGGGCACAAAGACTGCAACAACCAGTGCTGAGGCTGAAGCCGAAAGGCGGAACTGATGAGGGAGAAAGATGTTACCAACATCCCAGACATCTGACTCCCCCAGGGAGTGAAAAGGCTGCTTTCTCAGCCGGAGCAAAGCAATGCCTGCAGCCACACGACCCCTGGAGCCCCTGCTCTCACCCACCTGGAGGGGAAGAAAGGACGGTTGGTTTGTAGTAATCTGGGGAAGAGAAGAAAGTTCCTGAATTGATGCCTTTTGAAACCCTGGCTTCATCAGGCATCGTCCAGCAAACCATGTGGGCTGGGCTTAGTGGGAGGAGCCAGATACAAGGAAATAGGACCTAAAAGAGAGAAGCCAGGTTAGAAGGGGGGCAGGCGATTTTTGTCGCAGGGAGTGGGGGTGGGTTCGGGGACTTGATGGCATCCCAGGCTCTGCCGTGGCCAGAAGGGCCAGCGAGAGGCCAATCCTACCTCGACGCAATCTGGGCCTCTGGATCAAAGGTGGGATAGAATCACAGAGAATATTTAGGACTGTGATGTTTGCTTTAACTGTTCTCTTCAAGGCAGCCTGAACCCAAAGGAAAAATGGAAAACTGAAAAGAGCTCACTCTCCCTCCGATGGTTGTGGTCGGAAATGCTTTCTGCAGGGAAGCCAAAGACGGCTGGACTCCAGCCACGTGCCATCAGGGACTGGCAACTGTCCTCGCTCCTCCAAAGAGTTCGGGGATGTCACTGTGTCCATCGTGGACATCTGGTTTGCAGCAGACGTGGCCTCAGGCCACTGGCTGGTCATCCTCTCCTGGAGTCTGGGCTAACAAGTTTTGAGCCCTCCTGGGGGGCAGTCCACGACACCTCTGCAAAAACAAAAAAGAAGAGGGTGTAGGAGGAACAGCGGGCCAGGCAAAGCAGCATCACACAGTCTGTCCTTACCCAAAGCACTGCATTTCCTACAAGCAGCCAGCCTCTGGCCTCCTGTCTCCCTCCCAGACCATCACCATCAGAGGTCCGTACTCGTGTTGAACTTGACCCCGTTGCTCAGCTTCTGAACTGCCATTGTCGCCCTCCTGCCCAACGTCCTGGTCCATTCATCAGCTTTAACCTGGGAGCCCTCACTGGGCCCCGGTAGGATGGACATGGGTGCACCATCACGTTAGCACTTAACTGAATTCATGTCAAAGCCAAAGTTTCCTGAGCACTTTTTCCTCTTTGCAATCTTGTTGGGTTGGTTGGTGGTGTTTTAAAATCCGCTTTCTTTGCCCCCCCTTGCCTCACTCGCAGGTTTTGCAGCTAAGCGTTTGTTCATCTGGATGCTTTTTGAATGAACTTGGCAAGAGTCTGCCTTCCTCAGCCTCTGCTCTGTTTTTTAATTTTAATTTATTGTTGAACATTTCCAATGATCCGAATCAAAGTGAATAAAAAAGAACTGTTTTATTGTTCGGGTGTGTCTGTCGCTTTTCTGTGAGGGCTGTGCTTTGGTGCCATCTCTTGAGGTTTCCACTCAGGAGATGTTTTCAGTCCTAAAAAGACGCCTCCTCTGTTAGTGTCTGCCCTGAGCCAAGTGCCCAGATGTTCAGGACATGGAGAGACAGCCTCTCCTCAGATGCAACCGTGCCTTCTCCCTGCTGTGTGACTGTGGTAAAGTCGCCCAACCTCTCTGAACCTCAGCTGCCTCATCTGTCCAATGGGGACCACTCTATGGGCCAGCAGAGGGAGTGTGAAATCAAGAATAGATGCATCGTAGGAGGCTGGTGGAGACACAAGCCCGCTGCTCCAAGCGTTTGCTGAATGAAATAGGCCAATGTGGGCAGAGTTAGTGTCCATCCTTCCCAAAGAAGGCTCGTCCATGAATGGATGCAAGTCTGATCCAGAGGTGGCACAAACTGCCCAACTTTTAAAATAGATCCAACAATCCACTACCAGGACTCTGTAAAGTTGGTGTAAATAATACTCCTTCCCGATTTGCATGGCACTTTACAGTTTGCACAACGACTCCCTAGGCACGATCTTGAACTCTCTCAGCAGCCCTGCAGAACTGGTGAATGGGTGCAGGCAGTTGAGGGCAGAGGTAAGGTTCAAGCCAAGCCTCCCGTCTCCAGATCTGGGGCTCCCTGTTCTCTGCG